AAATAAAGTGGTAGGACAATTCAAATGGATTCAAAATTATCATTCCCTCAGAGGATTTCAGCGAGACAAGTGATCAAACAGAAAGCAAAAGTTTCAAACGCTTTTGTTGTCAGGCGTTAGCGTCAAAGGTCATCTCAGAAAAGAATATGCATTCAAAAAACTGTGGGACTTCGGTGAACTCTACTGGGCAAAAATCAGTCAGAGGTATAAAACTTTCTCAAGGTAACTGGAGGGTTCTTGGACCGTGCTGAGATAACGGAACTTCGGAAAATCGGCTGAGACTGAAGGTGGGAAAAAGCGAAAAACAAATTCGACGTTTAGCGCAACAAAACGACAGCCGCCAGTGCTGATTGGACGCCGCGATGCCTCTGCAGAACGGGGTATTTTGTATCTATGTTCCGTGGGGGTTAGGTGATCTCCCGTCTGTCCAAAAGAAAAGTTTGGAACGTGTATCGCACTAATCCTCAGAATCTCAGCCTCCTGAAGATCATATGCCTTTTTGAAACGTTAACGGATATGACCTCTAAGATATACCCATTTATATACACGGAGCTACGTGAAAGGAATTACTGCTAAGAAGCCGGAAAAGCCAAAATGAGGACTAACCTTAAGGGAAGTTATTCATCAGTCTCACCTCTTCCTGGTCACGAACTAACGCCGCTAGCTTCGTGACAGCAATTTTGTAATATACTTCACCTAAACTGCGAAGAAACATTCAATAGTAACCATCATATGTTTTACATACGTTGTCTCCAAGCCTTCTGCAACTGCTGGTTGTGTTGCTTGTTTTGGCATCATTGAATCATGTAAACGAGTAACTACCACCACCCAACCATAGTCCAGCCGGACAAAAGCACATTTACTGCGCATACACGTAAACTCAATACTGGTGCCTCAACCAAAAGAGCGCATTTGCCAACCGGGTAGACTTCAAGCCTTGGAAGAGACCCTGAAGGTATGGACCTCAACTTGATCTTGGAGCTATACACTACTTCGCGTGAAAATAAGGAAGATTGGATAACTTTGCAGAAGTCACAGGCGGGACATGAACGCTAGGATCAAAATCTTACTGCCGGTGCTACATCTTTTCACTCTAATCCAGAAGTCGGTGCTGGCAGCTCTTTGAAATCAGTAGGTGTGCCAGATTTCATGGCTGAGGTTAATAAAAAGATTGTCCTCACATAATGCACTGGTAGACAACATACTCGACCACGAACCTATCGAACAACTAAAAGCCTTAGGTTTGCAAACTTGTAGTGTGTGTTATGCAGAATGCGGAGTTACCCGTCCCCGCAAAAAGTTGGAGAAATCTACCCGTTGCGGTCGCATTAAAGTACCAAAGGTGGCTAGCTTTAGTCAGACTGTGGTATCCACAACGGCAGTTCAATCTGTTAGTGAACTTGTTTCTGTATCAAAACAACGGAATGAGACACATCAAAGCCCCTCTGATAGCTCACTCATATACAGACGTAGTGGAGCCGGTTTCACAGCGATGGGCTTGAGCAAATCCATTGACCACACTCAAAAACGGGCACACAATCTCTCAAAAGTGATCTCAGTGCCTTTAGAGGTAGGGGCCCTCTACACAAATCCTCACAAAACCATGTGCCACACTATGGGTACAACACAATCTTGAGGGCATTACTGTGTCCTCATCAGGGGCTATTCAGCCTACGAACATACCAAGCACCAGCCACAAGCACCCCACCACTGTCGGACCGTCCCAGGGCTTAGTGCGTGGGTAGTCCAGTCTACTACCACACCAGCAAGCACATAACCTGTTTATACCAGATGGGCAGGCCAATAAGAGTGCAGATATCATTAGACACCCCAGTACAAACCCAGGTCAATCGAATTGCAGAAAAGGCAATTCAGTAGTAGGGCCATTGGACGAAAAAAAAGTACGAATAACCAAAAGGCCATGGGACTTTCGCAAAGCCGCACCAAGAAAAATGCCAAACGTCATTTCTCAGCTCTCCTCATGGCCAGAACAAATAACCACTGTCCAGGTAATCTGTATTTCTTAGCATTCCTGCAATCACTAACAGAGTCGCGCCAAGACCAATTCCCTCAACGGTCACAGCTACTTGATGGTCAGCCAAATGGCAGGCATAAACTTTACACTGTACCACACCCATATGCCTCAAACCGTGGGTCATATGGTACTAAAAGACAAACTTATTGTAGATCCCTCAGTGATAAATCCAGTGACCATGATGTCAGCTACGACCGCAAAGTGTACAACAGCCAGTAGATATGCATGCCGTACATCCGTCCTTATTACTTTCTATGAACGGGGTTTTTTCGGACAACCTATGGCTGCAACGCCACCGTTAATTCATGGGATTTGAATGCTCTTGGATCATCTGCTCCCTACTTTGACAAGCAGCCTCCATACCAGTCACAGTGTGATGAACGTCTCACTCCTTCCAAGGTAACCCGTACGGAATTGTGGCACTGTAGTAGAGGTCCTACAGGTCGCCATAAAACCGCCAGCGCGATATTCTGAAGGGATCCACAGGGTATAAACGGGGGTGCTGACATTAACGAGATATACACAAACACTTTGGTACCCTTCACCCACTTGCCTTAGCATGATTAACACCGTCTCCAAGGCAGCAAAATGAAGAGCTTGCACTGTTATCTCTGATTTGTGATGTGTCTGCAAAAATAATTACAGAAGTAAGGTGTACTTCTGATATTTTTGACAAGGAGATCTCCATCGACAATTATTCTTTGTTCACAGCGAACAGACCTCGTGGTAAGGGAGGAAGGCGAATCATCGACGCAAAGTCTGGCATCACTGCTGCGCAGTGCTCAACTTCTGAGCCGAAAGAAATTGATAGCTCTGTGTGTAGCGGCCAGAATCCAATAATCTTGGCCTGAACGCGGGAAATAGCTAGGCGGTGCCAACTGACGTGAATCTGACTAGTTCCTGCGTTCTACTGTATAGCTTCCTAACTTCCGCGAGTGACGCACAGTCAAAGGTTGGATCGAAATATCAAAACACGGTTTGTAGTAATTCAATAGTAGATTCGTAACAAAATCTGTGGTACTATCAAAGCAACAATAAGTTATGTCAAATTACAAAAATACCTCAACAGTGCCGTTGGGTAACTATACAGTCCAAAACGTTCTCGGGTACAAATACGTACTACACGGTAAAAACTGGTTAAAAAATACAACTGTTAAATACCTGTCGGTCAATAGGAATATTCCCGGCAAAAGGGATCAAAACTCTGTCTACAGGAATCAAATCAACAAACAAACGTTTCCAGTAGACAGTCAAAAGACAAACAGTCAAATCACTGCACAACCGTAAGTTGAACCAAAACAAAATGTCGTGCGCAGTAAAACAACATCACCTTATCAACAGTTCAGCGTCACATAATAGGAAAGTGAAACACTCATAATAAGTCTCAAACATACAAAGGCAAATACCGAGTGTAAAGTCAAATAAGACAGTTAAACAAGCAAATAACATTACACCGGCGAGGGTCAAAGGTACACCATCCACAACGAGGGTAAAAATGTTAAAATAAATGTCAATACAATCAAATAAAAGTGATCGGGAGGGATTTTCAGATCATTTTTCCGTTACACTGTGCAGGTCATCACGAAACATACTATCTCCACATCTCTCCTTATGGGATGCATTTATGCCCTCTGCTACAGGTCCATACGCTATCTCGGGATTTACTGTCAGAAGTTATGCAGAGGCTATCAAAAACTTGTGGCTATGAACAGATGTAGGGACCGACATCCTAATCTCAATCGTCATGAGAAGCAGTGATGATGACATGTTTCTCGTCCTGCCCTCTACCAATGAAAAGTGGAGTATAACTCACTTAGCGACGAGCCAGCTAAGGCCTCGCTGCAGGTCCGAAGACGAGTCGAACGTCATTGAATACAGCCCCATTAACGTAAAACCGGTGCCGTATAGAATGATGAAAAAAGTAATTAAGAACAGCATCTCTGCTTACATAGCAACAGAAAGTCCAATCATAAGATCCTAGCATGGCTTCATTACGAAAAGGTCCTGCGTTACTTGCCATTCTGATTTCTTCGACTTCGTCTCCAATGGTAGTAAGGCGAGTGAGGTGATCATTGTTCTATAGTTTTTCATCATTTTATCATTCATCGTTTGCCCTCTGGGTTCCTAGTGGAACATAGGGCTTCAGTTGCACGTGTCCATTGCACTCTGTTCTCTGCAGTCTTTTGAACCTGGCTCAACGACTGCCCACAAGCCTCCATTTCTTCCTCACACGATCTCCTCCATATTACCCTCTCCTCGGACGCCCAACTCGTCGTTTCCCATTTGGGTTCGACTCGAGGACCTGGCCTGGCTTGGTTTGTGATGTCCCCAATCAGTCTTCTCAGTGTATGCTCGATTAATCTCCACTTTCTTCTGCATATTAGTTCAGAGATAGGTTCTTGGTTGGTTCGTTGCCCGGCCAGAGTTCCTTGTTGCTTATTCATTGTGGCCATCTGATGTTCAGCATCGAGTGAGTGTAGGCGGTAGCTGTTGATGAATGACTGTAGTTTGTTGGAAGTGCTTTTCGTGACGCGCCAAGTTTCTGAACCATATAGCAGCACTGACGTGACATTGGTGTTGAAAATCCGGACCTTGTTATTTATGCTGAGTGTAGTGCAGTAGATCTCCGCACTGATTTCAGATTAATGAAAGCCTGTCTTGCTTTTCCGATCTTGGCTTTGACGTCCCCATCTGTGCCGCCACGTGTAGTTGAAACGATGCTGCCCAGGTAGGTGGAAGAGGCTACTCCCTTTAGGTTTCTCCCGTTGGTGGTGATTGGTGCTTGTTGTTGTTGGTTTGGTATCTTCATTACCTCTGTCTTCCCTACGTTCCTTTGAAGTCCCGTCTTCACCACCTCTTCTGTCAAGTTGTTCGAGCTTGTGGGACATCAGACATAAATGATAATCGGCGAAATCCAAATCGTCTAGGCTCTTTTCATTGGTCCAGCTAGCGTATGCCCATCTCCTCACTCCTCCCAGTTTGCTGCATGATCCAGTCCACCACAATCTGTCTCTCCAGGATGATGCGCCTTAGTATTTTGGTTGGAGTGGACAGGGGTGAAGCATGATTCCGCAGCAGTTCTTGCAGAGTGCAAACAAAGTGTAACTAATGTAATTGTATCATATTTAATCAGAGTCACATTGGTATCTTGTATTTTGGCATTCCGAAGACATGTGAATGGTGTTGTTATCATTATTTTTTGGAATCGTACAAATTCAGAATAAATATAAAGGCTTATATATTTGTACTGATCTTTCATTATTAATTTGAAATAAATTTACAGCTGAACTTAATAACTCTCGATTTTTTGGTTGTATTGCATGCATTTTCAATTTCTGAACAATTTGAACTCTCTGTTGCACACTCTTCTTTTCATCTTTTTTTATCCGCATTGCTGATAAATATCTCAAGTATCTACTTGATTCAGAAGTATATATATATTCTGATGGAGGGAATATACTAGATACCAAACAAATGTTGATGACGTATATTGCCAATAACTATTAATCTGTGTTTTATGGTAAAATGAGAAAGAGTAGATTTTAAAACAAAGATCTGAAAATTTGATGACACAACTGTCACTCGTGTCACAATAAAATTATATTTTATTGCCTGTTTTCTACAGAAATCACAATATTTCACTTCATTAACTTTAATCCTTTACGTATGTCTTTTCTTATTTGCTTTCTTCCGATGACTGTTCCTTTCTGGTGGTATTTCTGGATGAGTTGCAGTGGTCAGTGGTCAGCCCATTGTTTCCTTAGTTTCTCCTCTTTGGTGACTAAGTTTCCTTCACCATCTTTCATTGGTTTCATCTGTGTTGAACTCTTTCCTCACAGATGGTAACCTGGTTATTTGATATAATCTTGTCAGGTCTCTATCTCTCCTACCTGCAGCCTGTTCTGCTTCACTTGCCAGTGTATCGTAGAAGTGTGTTTTATCTTTGCGCGCACTGTTCTTCACTTCTTCGTTCAGTGTAATGTTTTATATGTTGTGTTCAGTTCCTCTTTTCGTTGTTCATCCCCGCACTGCACTGCAGTGGTTCATCTTCTGCTTCACCATCTTCCTCTCCCTGCTCTATCAGCTTCCATGTATTCGTCGAGATCCACTCCTTGTCTTGCTTCTTCTTCCTTCCTAACACGGTTATGCAGGTTTCTTCCCACATCTCTTCTATAGAGTTCTATTGTTCTTCCACTCAGGTTTCTTCAGGGATGTTGCCTAACGTCTCCGATTTTTTCCTGATTGCTGACGTGAAGATGTCATTTGTAGTTTCGTCCTTGAGTTCAGTTTCTGTTCTGGGTGTTGAACTTGAACTGTCGTCTATCACCAACTTCTGTGAAGGCTTTCAACTTGATTTTGAAGGTTCTTCGTACCATATGGTGAGTGCTCTGAACGTACATCTGCTCCCCTTCTTGATCTTGTGTCCAGTAGTCTGCGCCTGCACTTTCTTGAGATTGAGTTGAAGTCGATTTGATCTTCAGTGTGTCCTGGTGTCTGGTGAAATCCACGTCGCTTTGTGGATATCCTTGTGTTTGTACACAGTGCCTCCAATCATCAAGTCATTAAATGTGCAGACGTCTGCAAACAGTTCTCTATTCTCCTTCATCTCACCGAGTGCTTCCCGACCCATGATGAGTTCTCTTTCTGCGTTGTCCGCTCCCAGTTTGGCATTCATGTCACCCCACCCATTAAAATTTCGATGTCGCCAACTGGAGTATGGTCTTGTCCATCACTGATTACAGTTGTCTATAGAATTCCTCCTTCTCTTGATCTACATTATTTGTAGGTGCATATCATAGAGTTGTACGATTGTGACTTTCCTTCCCTTTGATTTGAATCTTGCTATCATGATTCTGACCATGGAGGAGATTGGTGCCCACTGCATGAGAGTGAGCCCTCGATGCTGTTGGGGACATCATGATAGCCACTCCGAAACTCAGTGTGCTTATGGTTTTCGTCTGCGTGACAATATCAGAGTAGATTATTGACTCCCTAGTTGACAGTTCGGAGAGTCCACTTCATTGCATTTACTTTCCCGAATTCCTAGCACTTCTATGCTATATCTTCTCATCTGTTTTGCAATGTGAGCAGCCTTGCCAACCAGTTAGCTTCAAACATTGTGCAAAAATTCCATGTCGCATGTTCCATTCTTACTTTCGCTTTCATGGAGAGAAGAGAAGACAGACCGGCCAATTGGCTTCCTGAAGACTTTCAGCGGCTGGTGTCATTTCGTCTTTCCCATTCCAGTGAGGAATAAGCTTGTTTTATTTTTATATTTTCTTTGTTCTTTGAAGTTTCTTTAGTGATTGGATTGGTTTTTTTGAGGTAGGGTTGCTAACCCCATGCCCAGGCTTCCCTCTTTTTCCGGGCCAATGACCGACTAATAAACAGCTAGCTAATTACCCATGCGGGTTTAATTCTTCATAGCAAAGAAATTTTTGAATGTTATTATAACACTTATTCCCGCGTATACAGACACACTCTATTTTTGCCTTATGAGTATGTTTCTTTATAAATTAGATGTATCTTTATGGTAGATAATCTCAGTCCCCATCAGAAGGTATGAGTAATTCGCCTTTATATAACGGAACATTCCAGCAGAATTAGTATGCAAAAAAGTGCAAGCTGGACAATTGAAAGTATTGCCTTCGCATTAGAAAAAGCAGGCTTGTATCTCGCACCACATGTATGTCCTGCAGAAAGATAAATCTTTAAGCTTATACTTCCATTGTAACAATTTGTCCTTTTTGCTTGAGGTGATGAAACTTTTATGGGGGAATGTATGCTTAGGTTGTTTATTTATTTCAATTCATTGATGATTCCGGAGATGTACAGTTCATGCGTGCTAATACCATTCCACACCAGAGATTCATAATCTTGATGGGTATTAAGATCGAGGGCCGAATATCTTCATTTTTCGACTTCAGGATCCAGAAGCATTGGACTTGTTTGAATGAGTCACGTGAACTTGCTGGGCGTCTTGTCCGCTGTTTTAACGGGTTTTGACTGCCTTGTGTTCAGTAAGTGTTAGACTTTCCCGGCCGGTCCTATAGTGAATAAGCCCCAGGTTTTGAAAATTTTGAAGTTTAGGTGCAGTGAGCATTCTTTGTTTCTGCTTTTTGTAGTTAGGTGGCGTGGACCCAGTAACACTGGCTATAATTCTGTATTTCGCAATGTACTCCTCAAAAAGTTACAATTAACTGGCATTTGTGACCCCTTACTTCGTTGGCCAAAATCATTTCCTAATGATCGTACTACAGTCGTGAAAGTAAACTCCGTGCGGTCTGAACCTGGACACACATTTAGTGGAGTTATTCAGGATAGTGTCTTTGGGCATTTGTTATTTATAGTTTGCATCCACAGTGTGTGTAACTGTTTCGATGGAGGTAAAGAATTTCTAACCACCGATGACCTGAAGTTGGCGTGTGTTTGTCACTTTCATGGACCTAGCAATCCTCTAGATACTACCCGGCAAGAGGTGGGTGAGCTTGAATCATGGTGTACAGAGTCCCATTTAGAATTCATTGGTGGCAAGCGTGGTCGGCTTAGCGTTTACAGCGATAAACCTGACCTCACCCTTGATGTATGTGAACGAAAACTACTAAGAGGTTCTTCTATGCCAGACAACTAATTCTGATGGATTACATCTGTATTGCTGAGTAAGGTCACACTGCAAGCGGGAAGTACGAGGACTTATATATTCACGTGAATTATGTGTTTATGCTAACACTTACCTTTGCCTGAAACCGATGAAGTGAGTCTTCGTTGGCCAGCAAACCCATGTTAAAATAAACGTTTATCTGACGAAACACGGAACTAAACCGCAAGGTTAACCATCTAGGTTACATGTAAGGCAAATGTCAAATATTGTGCTATCCTAGGTAATATTTTTCTGTTCTTTTTGTAACCTGCGGTCAATTTTGATATCACGATAAACCCTGATGCGATATTCTCTGTATCATTCAGGGCAGCTCAACCACTGGAGATTTCTTTAACTCTTTCAACTTGATGATGTCTGTAAACTGGCTCCCTTCATGTTAGACTCTTAATTTGAGAACAAAATATTTATTCATTTATTATTTATTATCATTCAAAACTTTTATAGCACTGAACCAGGGGTTCTACTGTATAAGGTGTTATCTTTTCCCCTCTTGGAATGTCGGCCGTTTATTCTCAGTGGCCCCCGCATAAACGATAAACTAAAAGTATGAGGGGTACAATATTACTTCACCTTCAGAGCATTAGAAGCTGACTTCAATTCAGATTACACATCCAGGTGTAACGTATACGGGTTACAGCCCCTCTGAAAAAGGCGATTTAAACTGAGCCTCGTAATTTATTATAAGTTACTTCATGAGCGCTTGCACTCTTGTGATCCGAAATCAAGCTGATCACAGCGTCTACGTATGATATACGTAGTCATAAAGTACTACTTGCAACTGAGTGTTGTGCGGCGAAATCGAGGGGAGATTTCTTCCTCGCTAGGTTTTCTCACACTTGGAATAGGCTGGCGGAAGAAATCCGTAAGTTAGGTTAGTTAACACTTTCGCTCCTCACTCAGTAGGCCACTAGTACAAGGCAAGTCTATCACCAACTAAGCCTCAGCCTATGCATCTTGGGCTGACAAGAACGTACCTGGACCTTACACTAATTGGTTCAGGGTTGCCCACAAAAATGTGGATGCCGATTTCCCTCCTCGGTATAATGCACTCAGCACATACTTTTTCCTGCCACAACTACCATGCAGACCCCAGGTTTACAAAATTTTACGAATCTTACGATGGAAAAGATACGTTGTTGATTCTAGATGCGTGCACGAAAGTGTACGTAAAGTTAGTACACGTTGAAAAGAATAAGGACCTCTCTCTTCTCCAAGTTGGATTGGGTGGTGATTTCCTTTTCCATATCTGCACTTGCTTCCTCTTTCCCCCCTTGCATCAACAGCCTGGAGAGGAGATTTGATGCCGAATTTCACCCTGAACGTAACTACTTAACGGGAATGATGCCTACTCCGTGACGCCAAGAAGTGCCAGACCGCTTCTGGTCTTCACAACCAACCAATCAGTTGGGGAGCCAACTGATGTCAGTCCATGATTAATACTACTTTTATATTACCTCTCATGTTGAATCCATTGTTGGAGAATAAAAATATTGTTGTTATAAGCCTCTTGTGTCCTTCCTTCGTGTTAAATTCTTCACCGCAAATCTACCGGTTTTGGTTGGGGCTCCCAAATCACTCCTTGAACTTAGTCAGTTACTAGCTGAATTCCAGTCATCTGGTAGCCTTTTTGAGTTATGTGGCGTGGAAAACCCCTTACATAACTGGTACGACTCACCCCTCCATAAACGCTCTCAGATAGTTGAACTAAAAGATTGCCTTTCCCACCCTCGACCGATTACAAGTGGTGTGGTACAAGGAAGTGTTCTTGGTCCACTTCTCTTTCTCATGTACATTA